GATCTAATTGTAATGGTACCAACCTAAGACAGGAGGCTGATGCCTTGAGGTCAGTTCATCCGATGACGGGTAACGACCATATGTAGTATTGGAAAACCTAAGACAGGCACCGTCCCTAAGCCACATGCTTGGTGTTTAATTAAACAGAAGGGGGGAGATGCTGAGGGCCACAGCCGAGTCGGATGACGCATGGCATTTTTGCCAGAAGTAGTGGTTGAGAGGTGACACCAGCGAGCCATTAAGATGATGACTTTTGAGTTCTTGCAGAGTTCCTGTTGAGTTCCGGTTGTGCTCTTGCCAGGATTCCTGAAGAGTTTGTGTTGGTTGGTGAAGTTCGGGTGGTGGGAGTTCTGGTTGGTGTGTGGTGTGTTCCTGGAGGAGCCGTGTGGGTGGCGTTCGGGAGAGATCTCGGGGAGCGTGTGTGGAGTGTGCTGGTGGAGTTCAGAAGTAAAGTTTGTTCCTGCTTGAGTGGCTCGTGATGTGTGCCAGCTAGACTGTGGTAACAGTTCTCAGTCCCTTTCCTTTCTCTCTACCCCTCCCACAGGGTTAAAGGAGCATCTAAATCTACAACTTTCCGGAGTCTGTAATGTATCTGTCTGTCCCTCCTGAGGGTCTTCTGAGCTCCCACCAGAGTCATTCTACCACACTCTGAAGCTCTTCCAGCCTGTATCTATACACTATCCCAAACTCCTGTGGACCAGCTCTGAAGGCTGCTGACCACATGGTCATGCTGGTTACAGCGACAACCTCTCTTCTTGGTAATAACTCCTGTCTTAGTCAGCGTTGTGTCACTGTGATCAAAATACCTGGTCAGAACAACTCAGAGGAGGGAAAGTTTGTTGTGGCTCATGGTTCAGAGGTTTAGCCCGGGGTGGGCTGACTCCTCTGCTCTGGAACCATGAAGAGGAGAACGCGATGGCAGAGGGTATGGGGAAGAGCTCTGCTCCATTCATGGCAGCCAGGAGGAGGGAGAGAGAGGAAGGACAGGCCACAGGGAAGAAGAAGCCTTCCAGCACACGACTCCAGTGACCCACCCTCTCCAGCCTCACCCTCCTGCTTAGGGCTACAACACAGTCCATCCACCCATACTCCTATGGCGGGAAGAAGTGACAGCTTTCACCATCTCATCATCTAATCTTCCTGCATTGACACAGGAGCTTTGGGGTGGGAGCATTTCTTATCCAGACGATAACAACATCTGTTCCCCAGATGTTTTTCTAGTTAGTAAGTTGAATGTTGGAG